TTTGATCTGTTGGATGTTCAGGAGGATGTTGTTGAATCTGCATATATTTGTGAATTTTCCAACTTTCCTCTTATTACTGATTTCTAGTTTCATACCATTGTGGCTGGAAAAGATACTTGTTATGCTTGGATTTCAATCTTCTTAAATTTGTTAAAACTTGTTCTATGATATCTCAGGTGGTCTATCCTTAGGGAAGTTCTGCGTACTCTTGAGAAGAATATACATTCTGCTAGTGTTGGATCAATGTACATGCCTATTAGTTTGATTTGGCCTAACATTTGGTTCAAGTCTAACATTTCCTTTTTGATTTTTCCACCTGGATGATCTCTCCATTGTTAAAAATGGAATATATAAATCCACCACTGTTATTGTATTATTGTACCATATCTCCCCTCAGATCTGTTTGTATATGCTTAATACATTTAGGTACTTCAGTGTTGGGTACATATCTATTTATGATTGTTCTAACTTCTTGATGAGTTGATCCCCTTATTATATAATGTCCACCTTTTTCTCTTGTTACCATTATTGGCTGAGAGTCTATTTTTGTGATGTCAGGATAGCTTCCTACTCCCATTCTTTTTTTTTTTTTTGGTTTCCACTTACAGGGAGAGTTTTCTCATCCCTTCATTTGAACCTATGTGTGTCCTTTAAGCTGAGTGTGAGACTCTTGTAGGCAGCAAATAGTTTTTTTTTTTTTAATCCATTATGCCTTTTCATTAGCGAAAATTAATCCATTAATACTTGGAGTAATTATTGGTAAGTAAGGACTTATTAATGCCATATTATTCTTTTCTGGCTGTTTTGAAGTTCCGTTTTTCTTTTCTTCATTTCTTGCTGCCTGCCTTTGTAAGTTGATGATTTTCTATAGTGGAATGCTTTGATTTTCTCTTTTTTGTTTTTATCTTTGTTTATTTATTGTAAATTTTGGCTTTGTAGTTCGCATGAGGTTTATATAAAGCACTTTACATATAAAGGTTATTTTATGCTATAACAATCTAACTTCAGTTGCATACAAAAGCACTATCCTTTTACCCCCCTTTTTAAATAAAATTTATTTTTTTAAATAAAAAAATTACCATTTTTTAATCATGTATTCAACAAATTGTTGAGACTATAGTTATTCTTATGCTTTTGTTTTAACCTTTATTCTAGAGTTAAGTAGTTAGCACATTACCATATGTGACAGTATTAGGGTATTCTGAATCTATGTGTGCTTACCTTTACCAATGTGTTGTATATTTTCATATGTTTTCATGTAACTAATTAGCATCATTTTGTTTCAACTTGAGCTCATTTTAGCATTTGTTGTAATGCTGGTTTAGTGATGATGAATTGCATCAGCTTTTGTTGATTAGGAAGGCCTTTATTTTACCTTCAATTCTGAAGGAAAGCTTTGCTGGGTAAAGTATTCTTAGTTGCAGCTTTTTTTTTTTTTTCTTTTTAGCACTTTCAATATATAATCTCATTCTCTTCTGGCCTGTAAGGTCTCTGCTAAGAAATCCACTGATGGCCTTATGGGGTTTTCTTTATATGAGAGATTTTTTTTCTCTTGTCTCTTTAAATGTTCTCTTTGTCTTTGGTTTTAGAGTTTTGTTGTTATGTGTCTTGAAGAACGTTTTAGATTAAAATATTGAGATGACCTGTTAAGAAAAGAATTGAAAGGGAGGGGAGGAAGGAATGGATAAAATAGGTGAAGGGGATTAAGAAGTGCAAACTTCTAGTTATAAAATAAATCATGGGAATGTACAGTATTAGGGAATATAGTCAGTAATATTGTAATTACTTTATAAGGTGACAGATGGTAACTACACTTATGGTGATCATTTCTTAATGTATATAATTGTCAAATTGCTATGTTGTACACCTGAAACTAATATAATACTGTAAATTACACCTCAACAAAAATTCATCATTATCACAGTTATCCATTATCCATTAAGACACAAATCAGTTCATGTTCCTCCTCTGGTGAGAACCAGCACTCCCTTTCTCCATCCCTTTTCTTTTTCCCCATGGCTTTTATCTCCATATTTACTTTATTCTGTGTCTCTCTCTCCCAAGTAGAAGATAAGCCCCAAGAAGATAGGGACTTACTGGTTTGCTCATTGCTGGATGCCTAACTCCCAGAAATGTGTCTGGCACCATTTTTCAGAGTGGGAACATAAAAAATATTTGTGAATGAATTAATAAATGAATGATTACATAAAATCAGAGTGTGGGAAAGGTGATCTCTAAGGTCTCATTCAAATCTGCTTATCCATGATTTTGTTCAGTGAATATGTTTTTCCTCTTTCTCACTAATGACTTGGAAATATGTAAAATAAAGCTTCTGTGGTAAAAAACAGACTTCAGCTGAACTAATTAACATAATTATAAAAGCTGGCTTTTTAAAAAAATTCTTTTGATGTGCTTTAAATAAACTCATTTATTCCTCATAACAGCCTTGTGAGGTAGGTATTATTATTTTCATTCTCCACATGGAGAAATTGTGGAAAAGAGAGAAAGTATTGGCACCTAGCCTAAGGTCCCACAACTAGTAACAAGCAGAGCCAGAACTTGAACCCAGAGCTGTAGTTCTTTATTGTATGTCATGGCCTAGGGAATATAAAAGTGAAGTTCTTTTAAAGTTAATGAAATACAGTATTTAAAACATAGCCAGTGTCTCCCTTCCATTTTAACATACTCTGCTTTAAAAATATTTTGTAATATGCATATTTGAAACATGGATATTGTAAACATTATATTACATGGAATGTATATTACATTCCATGTAATATAAATAATAGAAATTAAAATATTATAGTTTTCTTAATTTATTTTTTCTCTGGTTGAATTTTTTTTTCTTAACTTTTTTTTCTTTTAAAGATTTTATTTATTTATTTGAGAGAGAGAGAGGGAGAGGGAGCATGAGCAGGGGGAGGGGCAGAGGCAGAGCAGACCCCCCGCTGAGCAGGGAGCCCAACTCGGGGCTTGATCCCAGGACCCTGGGATCATCACCTGAGCTGAAGGCAGATGCTTAACCCACTGAGCCACCCAGGCGTCCCTCTTTTAACTCTTAAATTGTTTGGACTTTTTTTTTAGTCTTTGTGTATTTGGTATGTTAGAAACTGTCCCATCATTTCAACTATGAGTTTTCACACAGTAACTAGAGGATCATTAACTTGTATGAAAATCAGTTTGAGGCTTTATGAGATTACCAGACAGGGGATTATTTCCTCATTTTGTCTCTGTCTCTGTAGCTTTGAGGTTCTAGTAGTGCTTCTTCAAGAGCTTTTACACTGGTATGTAAACCCATTTTGTCAGGTGAGGTAATTTGGGCTCCTGCCTTTAGGGAGAAAGGAGAGAGGTTGCAGGAGTCAGCTAGGTGAGCATTGAGGTATGCTCAGTGGACTGAATCTTCTAGCAGTAAGCAAAGGAGCGGGAGGGAGATGAAAAATTTTTTGAGAATAGCTGTTTATTCTAGTGTGTGCTTAAAGCTTTATATTCTCCTTAACCCTCACCACATTTCTGTGAGGGATGCATTATTTTACTCATTTTTACAGATGAGGCTTGATGGCACACAACTAGTGAAAATGCAAGGTTGAATCCCAAACCAGGTGCTTTCTACTATGCTGTTACTTGTACTTCATTGTATTCCTTAGAGCCAAATCAGGAGCTACCCATGAGGGAAGGGTTAGGGCACCACAGACGTCTTAAGTTTCAAGCAACAACACCCAGATTTCTATTAATGTGACTGTTTTGTGTAAGGAATAATAGCAAGTGCTCAGGGGATATGCCCACAAATTCTTAGTGATTTAAATCCTCTGAATTCATTCTTATGGGGGTAAGGAAGAAGTAGAGTGCCTTTATGTAACTATTTTACTCAACACCTAAGTAGAAATCCCATTTCAGTTTGAATTAAGAATTGATTGGAGAGTAAAATGTCTAATTGGGTAGAGAAATTCCTTTTGAAACATTATAAAAGGAAGCCCCGAAGAAAGCATATTTGTTGAGTGTCTATGTGGGAAAAATAGCTGCTCCTTTCAGGAGTGTGTTGGACTAGACAAACACACAAATTTGTGAGAAATTGCCGGGTGAGAGAGGGAAATGTAGGCAGGTGGCCGCCAATATAGGGAAACAAGAGTATCTTTGTTCTTTGAAACTGAAGAGTGCTGCTAACACTGAAACAATCTCTAATTGCAGTTCATTCTCTTCTAAGCGTCTTTTGTGAACTCTAACAACTAGAGAGTGTGCTCTCAGCGGAGGGAGGAAGGCAGAGACAAAGCACCCCGAGCCTCAGTGGTGAGCCCAGTGACTGCTTGGTGAGCAAGTGTCTTCACCCAGCAAGCACTCTCCCCTCACACTGTGGAAAGAAAAGATGCTCCCCCAGGGGAGGGGTTATGACAAGCCAACTGAAGAGACTGAGGCAAGGAAGCAGTGCCCCAGTGGGACAGGGCAGCTGTGTGCCCGCCTGCCTGTAAAAGTTCATTCTTGGCAGTATTTCCCGAGGAGGCAAGGGGCAGGTAGAACTTCTCTCGCATTCCAGTTCACCTGCAGGCTCCTAAGCAGCAAGTCTCCCTCCACCTTCATTTACAGCATCACCAGCCCCTGGCAGCCCGGGTCAGGGTCAATATGGCGCCCTAGCGGGAGAAGCTTTGGAGCTCACAGAATCTCAAATTCCCCTCGCGCTGGGCAATGACTAGGAAATTTGAAAAGTGGGAGGTTCCTGAAGTTCAGCTAGAGGATGGAGGGTCAGCAGAAGTGCTGTCTGTCGCGCCATCCCTAATACTGGCTACACACACAAAGCGAACAGGCTAAAGTAAGCTGGGGGGAAAAAAGAAGTTGAATATCTAGGCTATTTCACTAGAGAAAAAATTTGGCTTTAGTTATCCAGATATTATTTTAGGTACAGTTAAACAAATAACCATCTAAAAAGTATCTTTAAAAAGCAATTTCTTTCCATTCCCTTTTGTCTCATTGAAGTAGCAGCAGTTCAGGCAGTAAACAGAAACTTCAACAAGACCATACTTAGAGTGCATTAAATAAATATAAATTTTATTAAAAACACTCACATAGCGTTATCAGGAATGATATAATAATAAACGCTTTCAAATAACCTGCATTCATAACATTACAATACTTACAGTATTTATAACCATCCTTAGGTTTTATAGACAAACTGAACATGAAAATGAAATGAAACTAAGTTTTAAAAAAAGCATAGAAAAATGCACACACAGTTCATTATCTTAGTGTCAAACTGCAAAAGTTTCCTATACAAGTTACCCACTAGCTTTAGAAGTGAACTGTACAGCACTGTGCGTCAATCAAGATGAAAAATTCATTCAAGTAAAGTTGACACCACTCAGAAGCATTTTCAAGTATGGCTATATAGTTAACCTGATATTCCTATATAAGCAAATTGGAGATCTGCTTCCATTCATTCTAACTGAGGCAGGTGTGATATTTACAATTATAGATCTGATATTTACAATATGCCACTGGATTTCCTCTCTTCCTCCCTCCCTCCCTCCCTCCCGCTCTCCAAACCCCAAACTACACTTCTTGCTCTTGTTGGGCCAGCAGTTTGACAAATGACAGTGGATGATACAGAAACTAGATATTCAAATCGGGATGGCTGACTCAAAACCAACAGATGTGCACGGACTAGCCAGATATTTGGGGTTAGATACATGGTATATGCAAAATATTGAAATCATGTGGTTTGACATATGCAAAGCTAATGTTTTTGAAATATTTGTAAATTGGTCACAGCCAAAAACTGTGGGGCGATATTTTAAAAAGACAAAAGCCATGTTATAAGGACTTGACCAAACTCCAAGGCCTCGTTTAAGAATTTATTTATTTGAAATGTTAGAAAGCACAAATGTACTTAGACCAAAATGTAATTGTCCAGTGGATTGCACGCCACACCCCTACGTGCTCTGCCTATGGAGGGAAGTCCTTGTGGCCCTCGACTGTATTGGCTACGGGGTCAAAAACTCTTAAGAAGTGTCGAGAGACTCTAGCCAACGGCCACTTGCCAAACTCCTGCCTTACAATCTTCCCTTTATCAACTCAGTGCATTCTATTTTCATGTAATTCTTTTTTCCTGCTCGAAATAGTCAAAAGATTTCCCCAAACTTTTAAAATGCTTTTCTTTACAATAAAAAGAGCCAACAGATTTTACAAAATTAGTTTTAGTTACATCAGGACATATACAAGTAAAATAGGAGGGATTCAAAATAAAAGGGTTAAATCCCTGAAAAAGGAATATATTTATTAACCTACAATTTTACATAAACACAGGTGACATGTTGGCATAAGGAGAACATGAGCTGAAATATCCCTGAATTTTTAGAACGAAAAGGTTGAAGTTCAAGTTATACTTGCTAAGAAATCAAGTATTGAAAAAAAGGTATGCTTTTTTTTAATAATAATAATAATAAAAAGACTTGGAAAAAAATGATGGTACACGATGCTCTAAGCTTTCACTCTCAGTTCAATATCCTATTGCCAAACTAGTGTTGAGGTATATGACAAGTAGGAACATCACTCAAACCTTTAATGAATTCTTAGCTCACATTATGATATATTTGTAGCAGGCTGAGTAGCACCATCATGATGTGAATTCTGCTTCAAATCCATATATATATATATATATATATACACATATATATGTATATATTTAATTTTTTTACAGTACTAAAATACTAAAGCATTGCGTTAAAAAAGTTTTGTTTACAATTTAATTTACTTACTATACATCTCTTTCACTTCTTTATACAAATTAATGATTTAAAACCACCACAGCAAACCAGCTGCCTGTTTTTTTTCTTTTTAATTAACAGATTCACATGGAACTAACCCTGTTTATTCATCTTATGCAGGCATCAGTCTGCTCAATCTTCCTGGAAAAGAGGACACTTAAGCTAAGAAATGACAACATCACAATGTACAATTATCAACACAAAAGCAGACTGCCATTCGGTTTGCTGAAGAGCATACAGATCCATAAAATAGCATCAGCTTAAGTGAACTAGCTTTGTTATGTCTGTAGCATGTCGTTATTACCTGCAGTTAAGAGAAAATTCCTAAAACTACATATTTGAGTAATGAACTTGTCATACAATGTTGTATAAAACTGTTTTACAGTATAGCATGTGAGATGAGCACCAGAAAACATGTGTTGTGGACTAATGTATTCCCTTGAATCCAGTAAGCCCCGTGGCAGATTTAACTGGCTATATTAAAAATGGACACATTGCTCATCAGCAGATGCATGGCTAAAAGCAAAAATATTTTAAAAGCTTTCCTTGTTTCCTTAAAAAAAAAATCAACTTTGCATTCTAAAATGAAAGTAAACTTTTTTTTTTAAACGTCTCAGTACCTTAGCATTGTTCAAGTTGTCAAAGCTTAGGTAGACAAAGTGCTTCTAAAACACCATTTAAAATATTTATACATATACGTGTGTGCACATATACATATGTGTATACATATATGTACATATATACGTTTATTGTCCTACAAGGACTTCACTGGATGAGCAAAATCCAGAGGCTTTTAAATGTCCACATTTAAAAAAAAAAGAACAAAAACCTCGTGTAAGAACAGGTAATTATGCTAAAAACTTGACTGAAAAGGTACCCCTATTATTCAAGGGCATTGGAGTACACGGATAGCATCTTGATATAAAGGCATTAAATTTTCAATTGTTAAAGACACCATTTTCTTAGCACCATTTCTTAGAACATCCAAACAAATTCAGTGTTTTGCTGTCTATTCATTTATGCTTCCTGTAGCTATTTTGATAAATAAAAGTTAATATTAAGATTACAGTAAAAACTGCATGTTAAAAAGCCATAATTCCAGTATTTCAGTACATTGTATATTCAGCACCAGATGGTATTTTAAAATTCCTGCCCCTGTAATACTACAGTACTTGTTTGACTTGTGTTCCATGACTATGCAAACTTGGTATTATTAAAAGTGGTCACATGTGTAGAGTTGTAAGGGGGAAAAAAATCACATTTACATATCATCTCGTCCAATAATAGAACCAGTGTTTAAAAATGTAAATTGTGGAACACTTTCTTCCCCACCTTCTTTTTGCATAGAATGCTTTGGTCTTTTGCCTAGATGCCATCTGTGACCACTTAGGAGTCAGTGGAAATTAAGTGCTATGGTAGGATGACCTCTTTTTTTGCTGGTGAGCTGAGGTTCTTCCCACCACATTTGCCAGGAATCCTGTGTCCTTTCCCCACTGCCCCCGTCATGAGAACTATACTACGGACAGGTTGGTTGTGGTCTTTTCAAATGAGGTACCCACCACAAGGGGCGACATCATATGTATCTGTTGTAAGGCCCTGTGACCCGAGTGAAGGCATATGGAGATGTAGTTACTGTGGAGTCTGTGGTCACGGACATGGTCCTTTCAGCAAGGGACTTGATAAAGCGCAGGTAAGTGGGCTCGGAAGGTTCATGCGGCTCAGTGGGCTCCCGTTTCACTTTTTTGCCGTGGGTTTTCTGAGGCACATAGTCTGGCCCATACTTCTCACACTCTTCCTCTTTCTCTCGGGCTTTTTCAGCCATTTTGGCTTCCCAGAGCGCCAAGCCATGTTTTGGCTCATTCATGCTCTTATGCTGGTAAAAGACCAGCGAGATCCTGGTGGGGTGATTCCTATTGGGATTCTTTAAAGGGGTTGTGGCATGAAGCTCGCGCTTGGCACACTCAATGAGAATTGACCCATGAGTTGGAGCCACAGCCACTCCCCCAATGTCAGGATCTAGAAAGCTCTGCTCACTGTCTGACCAGACTTCATCATTGTCCTCGGGGGCAGAAGGCTGCTTTTCCTGGTTACCGGCATCCTGTAATTTGTATAAGCCTTCTTGGACAGAAGCAGTTCTATCATGGCTAAGACCTGGAAGCATCTTAGAGAACCCATTAGCTGTGTGGGAAAGCATGTCATTTTCCTTGTTTTGGAGATGCAGGGCATGAAGAGAGCTGTTGAACATGCCTGGAGCTGCACCATAGTTATGGATTATATGAGAAGATGGGGGATGTTCACCATTCTTATAGTCTATGTTTGGATTGCTCAAATTGGGTGGTAATCTAGAGGCGGCTCCCATGAAGTGGCCATCCATCTCATGAGTGGAATAAGGAGGAAATGTCCCTACATGGTGTACATTTGTTTTAAGAGTACAACTGCTGAAGGCATCTCCCTGCATAGTTTGGTTTCCATAACCTAAGTACTTAGAGGAAAAACTCTGGCTATTTCCGAACCTTGGCTGGTAAAGTGTATGGATGGGTGGTAAATTTAGCTTAGAGAGAGGGTCTTGGTTTGGATACCTGTATAGATCCATGGGCTGAGACTGGGGAGAATAGGAACCCAGATACGGGGAGCAGTTGTCCACCGATACATTTCCATTGCATTGATATGATGGATATTGATTATTCTGGTTCAGAAGCCCAGTGTAGGGATTCATGGGATTAGAAGAATTCAAATATGAACCTGTAGCTTGGGATGAGGTGGAATAGAGGTTCATAGGGCTGGCGCCTCCATAAATATCTGAAGTGTGTGAAGAGCCCGGATAAGCTTGGATAACTGGATTGGGCCGCCTCATGTAAAGATTGGCTGATCCAGAGGAAGAGTAGGAGTTGCCAGACTCTGACTGAGGGTTATTCGTCATGGGGTGATGCTGGGGCTGCTGCTGCTGTTGGGGTGGCTGTTGGGGTGGCTGCTTCTGTGGCTGTGGAGGTTGCTTCTGCAGCGGTGGGGGTGGGGGCGGGAGCTGCTGGGACTGCTGGGACTGCTGCATGACTGGTCCTGAAAGTCGCAGAAGTTCTGTGGACACGGTAAGAGAAAGCACACAAATGTGTCTGATTATTATTTTACAGAAGCTAGCGAAGATGCTTAAATGTATGTGAGAACTCCCAGTAAGATGATGCAATACCCATCAAACAAGCACAAGAGCAAAGTCAGGGTTCTGATCACTGTCTGGCGTAATTTTTTTGTCTAAAGCATTAGATAAAACAGCAGATCTCTACGACAGTACAATTTGGTAAGTGAAGAAAAATGTCACAAACATCCAAAAGCTGTTTCACTGAGAGCATCATGTTTTCTGGAGCTTCTGTGCATCTGACCATGCCACATTCTACCTGAAGTGCCCTTCTCCCTCCACCCCACCTCCCTGCCCTTCCTTGGCACGGTCCTCCCTTCCTCAAGGAAGCCTTCTCTGACCTCATCTTCTAGTGCATGCATAATACCCACAGATAGAGCAATGCTTCATAATGTATGGTAATTATGCATTTTTTAGTCCTCTTCTCCCACTGATGCAAAGCCGTTCCTTGAAGGAAGGGACCAGGTCTTGTTTTACTTTATTTCTCCACTGCCTGGCATGCAATAAAATTTGTTAAATAATTGGGAGTAGCATAAAATTTGTTACAGAAGATTCAGCAATGCTATGAAGCAAAGAATGACCTTCACTTAACACCCAAAGCATACCTTACATAACTGGCAAACCCCATCTACACAGTTGTCAATAAAACTTTAAAGTAATTTTCAGCTTTGTAAGTGAAAATTTTAAGTCATACTTTTATTTCATGACCTCATAAAAATCGATGTATGAGAAAAGAACAAATAAATGGAGCTGTAACGGCAGTCCTGAGCATTGAAATGATTATTACAGAAACCAGTTAGAAAAGACTGGAGGCAAAGTTCTATCCAATTATACTTTGCAGCTAACCTAAAGGAGAGATTAAGGAGTGAATAGGATTTACTTCTCTTAGTGTAAGTCAACCAATCAACAAATTTTTGTTAAGCATCTTTAGCATATTATTCTAAATTATTTAGTTTCTCTAGGTTTTGAGATGAATTGGTAGGGGAATTTGACTTGGTGAAGCAAAGATGGTTGGTTCTAAGCAAACTAGTAGACTAAACTTACAAGATAAACCTTTTTCTTTTGTTAATGGCCAGGCCAATACCATTTGTAAGATGTGGATATGGACATTGCATTGTATGGCTTTTTATAGCAATTAACTGAAGACACAAACAAGGGATTTTGAAAGGAAAGTATCAATTTCGTATTGATAAATAATGCTCTGTTGCTACTACCACAGATGTGATCCGTTTGGATGGGTAAAAGCTTTAGAAGATAACTACATGTTATGAGGATACCCCTCCTCAACTCAGACTTAATGTGGCTAAGGAAAGGATCTTCTTCTCCTGCCCCTGCTCCATAAATCCTATTTTCAAACTTCTTATTTCAACAAATAGTACTGTTTTAGTTACCTAGGCTTAAAATGTTGAAGTCAATCTTAAATTTTTCTTCATCTTTGGTCCAATGCTTTGTCAGCCATGTACTGCGAATCATTTTGGGTGCATTCACTTCTATCATTTTTGCTACGTCTTCATTGCTACCACCCAAACTCAAGCTTTTCTCTTGGTTTCTTGCATCTGTCTCCAAACTCATAGCTCCTCTGCCTCTAATTTGGCCGCCTGTCACTGCTAGATTAACACTAATTTCACCATATCCCCTCATAAAACTGCCATTTATTATAGAATAGAATCCATACTTCTCCATTAAGCTGGGGTTGAGGGTGCAATATCTCATTACCATCTCCAAGAGCAAAGCCTGGCCCTTGGGACTTCAGAGAAGATTCTGGTTCAAAACTTAAGACCCTCATTTTGAACGTAAGTTTCAGATAACACAGATGCATGTTGCTTTACATTAAATTTACCTGCCAACTGTTTAGTCTGGCTTGCATTTTCAGTCTGTTTTGTACGAGATGACGCTGACTTTTCCTTTTCATTCTTATTTGCGCTGTTTTCCAGGGAGGAAAGCTTTTCAGCTGCAGCTTTCTTGGCTTCTAGTTTCCTTTGTCGGCATGTCTTGACTGGCTCTGCTAACATCCGGACTTTTCGCCGAAAAGAACTCAGCACCTGAATGGCACCATTTTGTTTCTTCTTCTCTTGAGCTTCCACACTCCCAAACTCATCCACGTCAGAGACTTTGTAGAGAGGCAGAACATGGAGCTGCTCATCCTCAGGTTTTCCTCCAATTTCTCGATTGTCTTCTCTAGTGAGGGTGCATACCTGGTAGGGAAATAAGACAGTACCGCCTCAGTTTCAGTCCAAAAGAAACGTGTGTGCGCGCGTGCGCACGTGTGTGTGTATGTGTGTGCGCGCGTGCGCACGTGTGTGTGTATGTGTGTGTAACTTTCTCCCTGTCAGAATTTAGATTTGTGGTGGTGGTCTCCTGGACGAGATCAGTAACAGGCATATTACCATGAACCACGTCTGTCTGTTCTTAAGGGAGGTTGCATTAAAATGGTACAGGGAGATAGACAAGTCCATGTTGACTTTTTTTTTCTCCTTTTCTTTTTTTGAGTCTTATCAGGAAATGTTACCAGTGGTGACTTTGTTCTTCAAATATATTTTTGATTCTAAGGGAAGAAGCAACACTCCCACCAAAATGGAGCAATCTCCCACCTTTCACACTTGAAACATAGATGTGAGAGATGTGACACCTCTTCAAGAAGGGGCTAAAAGTTTCTTCCACCAAATGATTTCCTGTTTTGCTAGTTATCACAGTCACCTAATCTCATACTTTTGTACACAAAGAAATTTCACATCTTTCCTCACACCGGACTCCTAACTTCCCTTTCATTGCTCTTAAGACATTTCCACAAGCTACCAAAGTGAAATCTAAGTAATGTAAAACTGAAGATACAGTTGCTCTAGGGGATGTGTAACTCAACTCTGCATCTACCTTCCTCTTCTCTCCTTTTCTGTACTTGTCAAGACTAACTTACTGTTGTTCCTCTCTCTTTTCTCTTCTAAGCTATTGCACCACACAAGGGGCTCTTCCAAAAATGGGTAAAGTCTACCTCTCTTGCTTTGCTAACTTGATGGTCCCTTTTTCTCTTTTGTTAGCCACAGTCATATTGGTGTTGATGAGAGATTATTTGTTGGCTTTAAAATACTAGCTTTTAGTATTTAGGGTTTTTGAGTGATGCAGAAAACAACATGATCATGATTATTTAAAGTGCAGGAAATATAAAATTACTGGAAGATACTCTTGAAAGGAATGTGATCATAACAGACTTACCCTGATAGACAAGTTTAACACGAGATGGGACTAAAACGAGTTTTTCACTTCCAATACATAAGTCTTCCAAATCCACATCTCTGAGCACTTGCCACCTTTTCTCACGTGTGTGTCCCTACTCTGTTCTTGCCTAGTGCTGCTTTCCCTTGCACCTCGTGGAAACCATGACCTATTAGAGGCAAAGTCCCCTTTACACAGAACCTTTCTCATCTCTGCCTTCTCTCCATCACCTTGCTAGCGTGAAACATGGCTATCTTTAGAACCTACTATGGCTCTGATTATCATTTATTTCTGCTTCCTAGAATCTAGCCTAGCCTTCTAATAGTGAGCAAGTGTTCAACACATGATTAGTGACGATTTTAGATACTGTGGATGATAAGCCGCCTTGTTGGTCCTCCTGGATCAGAAGTCCACACGCTAATCTGCCTCACAGCCAGTTTTTGCACGGCCAGTGAACTAAGAGTGTTTTTTGCATTTTTAATAATAATAAAAAAATAATGTGGTGGAGATCCTATGTGGCCTGCGAAGCCTAAAAATTTACTAACTTAACTTTAATTAAAAAAAAAACACAACTTTCTGACCTCTGCTCTAGACCATTAAACCAATACCTTTTCTGCTTCTCCAAAACTTCATACCTAGGTTCTGTGAATTACTTCCACTATTGTTTACCATCTCCCTGGGTTCTTGTCTACCCGAGACTATGACTTTGGTCTCTGTATTCTATTTTTCATCTTAAGTCTCGTTGGTCATCTTCCTCAACTACACATATATCCATGTTGATGACTCATTAGGCAGATTAATTTATAGTTTCTTCACTTAAACTTTTTCATTCTTTATCTCCACCCTGGTTTCTCTCTCTCCACGCAAGGCCACACTGTGGACTCTCAGTGCTGGACACTGCTCCACCCTAAGACCATATTCATTTTCTCCACTTATCAAGACCGCCAATTATACGGCCCCATCTACTTCACCCACTATGCTATGTAGTTAAAATGGGCTCTTCTGTACTTTGAATTTTCTACAGTAGTTACTATGCCACAGAAGGGTATTTTTCATTTGCACTTCTCTCTGCAAGGTGGACTGGTGCCTTGACTTGTATACGGCTTTTTACTTTACTGATTATAACCTACCAGATACCTGACACTGAATTCTGAAAGAACTTTTGGCAGCTAACAGTAGCTGGTGATGCATAGTCACTGGGTTAGCTTTGCATCAACCATGCTTTTCCTGTGCTTGTCAACAGATTTCCAGTAGTGTGCCAACTCATTATGAGAGTACTAGCTACGCCAAACAAGGTCACCTTTGCAACAGCAATTCATTCACGAAAACACTTGTGCAATGACACCTGTGGAGAACATATTACACTAATCACCTGCTGCTAACTTGCAGCCTTTCACTCTTTCACAGGATGTGCTGCGAACCCACTTACCAGTGTGCTGCCATTCTGCATGTTGTGTAAGTCCCTGTGGGCATGAGCGCAGAAGTCCAAACATGCGGTGACCCCTGAGAATGGTCGGCCTTCCTTTAGACCCAGTCGGCACTCTGGTGCTCTGTGTTCATATTCAATCTGAAAAATAAAAGTGTGTGTGTGAATGGGGACATACTTAGGCATTTGAAATTCTTAAGCTACATTTGAGAAAATAGTGTAAGACCTGTGTACTGAACAGGTCAAAAAGACTCCTTAGTATTTTGGCTATTTAGAACTTTAAAAAAAATGTTGCATATTTTATATCCAGAAATACAATAGAACGATACAAAATAGGCCAAACATTTTGATATGGTAAAGTATTTATTTTACAGTGTTGAGGTACAATTGATATACATTAAACAGCATAAATTTAAAGTGTACCCACTTGATGAATTTTGACATGCATATATGTAAAACCATTGCAACAATCAAAATAATGTACATAGCCATCACTTCCAAAGTTTCCTCCTTCCCTTTTTAATTCACGCTTCCTTTGTTCCCAGGTAACTACTGATCTGCTTTCTGTCACTACAGATTACTTTGGATTTTCTAGAATTTTATATAAGTGAACCTATTTTGAGTACATTTTTATATATGATGAAGATTAAGAGTCAAGGTTAATTTTTTTCCATATGGCTATCCAACTGTTCAAACACTACTGGATAAAAAGATTATCCTTTGCCACTAAATTGCCTTTATCAAAAATCAGTTGACTGTACATGCTGGATCTATTTCTGAACTTTCTATTCTGATCTTTTGGTATATAACAGTGTGTTGGGAGGTGTGTGTATATATGATAATATCACGGTCTTGATTACTAGTAAATATGGACCCTTAGTAATCTTGAAATCAGGGAGTAGAAATCTTCAAATTCTGATATTTTTGAAAATTCTCTATTTCAGATCCTTTGCATTTCTCTCTATATATTTTAGAATCACCTTGTCAATTCCCTCAAAACACTTGGTAACCTTTTGATAGGTACTGAATCCACTGATTGACTTGGGGAACGTAATATATCTTTCCAGTTTTGGTCTTCTTAAATTTTAGCAATGGGTTTTCAGTGCACAGGTCTTGTACATTTTTGTCAAATGTCAAATTTTTATGCATAAGAATTTCATATTTTTGATGCTAATTGCTATTGGTTTTCACTACAATTTTTAATTGTTTATTGCTAGTACCTAGAAATACAATTCATTTTTTTATTTTGCAACTTTGCTAAACCATTTATTAGTACTAGGAGTTTTTTGGTAGATTCTTTGGGACTTTCTACATAGATAAGCATGTTGTCTACATATAAGCACACTTTCATTTCTTCCTATTCAATCTGTATGCTTGTTTTTTTCTTGCCTATTACCCTGTCTAAAATTTTCAGTTAGATGTTAATAGAAGTGGTAAAAATGGATGTCCTTGTCTTGTTTCTAGTCTTAGGGGTAAAGCAGTCAGTCTTTCACTATTAAGTTTGAAGTTAGCTTTTGGTTTTTCAATTATGCCCCTTATCAGACTGAGAAAGTTCCCTTCTATGGGTGTTGAATATTGCTAAATGCTTTTTTCCTCTATTGAGATAATCATATTTTCCCCATTACGTTGGCTATTATGGTGAATCACACTGATTGATTTTTGAATGTTAAAGCATTCCTGAAATAAACTCCATTTGGTCATGCTGTATTATCCCTTTTACACACTAAAATTTTGTTAAGAATTTGCACATCAATATTTATGAAGAACAATGGACTATGTAATCTTTTTTCTTTAAAGCCTTTGTCTAGTTCTAGTATCAAGTTATTTCCAGCTTCATAAAATGAGTTGGACGTTTACTCCTTTTTCTATTTTTCTAGAAGAGTTTCCACTGAATTGTTATTTCTTCCTTAAATAATGAGTCAAGTTTGGAAGGGAAATTATCTGAGCCTGGAGTTTTTAGGAAAGTTTTTAACTACAATTTCAATGTCTTTAATAGATATAGGATGATTTGTGGTATTTTTTTCTTCAGTAAGCTTTGGTAATTTGTATGTGTTTAAAAATTATTTATTATTTATTTATTTATTTATTTATTTAGAGCACAAGCTAACAGGGAGGGGCAGAGAGAGAGAGAGAGAGAGAGAGAGAATCCTAAGCAGATCCTGCACTGAGTGCAGAACACGATGTGGGGCTCAGTCTTATGACCCTATGATCATGACCTTAGCTGAAATCAAGAGTTGGATGCTTAACCAACTGAGCCACCCAGGCACTCTGGTAATTACTGTCTTTTAAGTACTTTGCTCATTCCATGTAAATTGTTGAATTTATTGGCATATAGATTCAATAATATGTCTTTATTATTCTTTTAATGTCAGTAGGATCTGTAGTAATGTCTTGTCTCTAGATATTGGCAATTTGTGCCTTTTCTTTTTTCCTGATTGAATTGACTCAAAGTACCAGCTTTTGGTTTCACTGATTTATTCTCGTTTCTGTATTTCATTTCATTGATTTCTGTTGTTTAGTTTTTCATTCCTTCTACCTTTCAGGGCTCAAATTGCTCCCCTTTTCCAAGTTTCTTAGAGTAGAAGCCTGGATCATTAATTTGAGACTTTATAATTTTCTAATAAGTGTTCAACGCTATAAATGTCTAAGCAAGGCACAGACATCATCCCGCAAATTTCAATGTCATGGCTTCATTTTCATTCAGTTTGAAATACTTTCTAATTTCCCTTGTGATTTATTCTTTGGCTCATAGGTCATTTAGAAGTATGTTGCATATATATATATATATATATATATATATATTCTTTTCTGCTATTTGTTATATATTTGTCTTATCTTTCATTTGGTTCCATATTCCTTTCAAGAACCTTTTTGGATTGATCCCATTCTTTTTATCTCTTTACTGATGGATTAGCTATGCTCCCCCGCCCTCAGTGGCTGCTTGCCTTAAGGTTTACAGTATATTCTGTCACTTCGCACAGTCTACATTCAAGAAATAGGATACCACTGTATATATAACATGAGAACCTTACAACAGTATACTTTCAATTCCCCAGCCTCTATGCTACTTCTGCATGTTATAAACTTCAAAATGCATTGTTTTTTAAATAGCAAATTATCTTTTAAAGAAATTTTTAAAATAAGGAAAAAGGTTTTTTATTCACGTATCTACTGTTTATGATGTTTTCCATTCCTTTTCGTCAATATAGATTTCTATCTGGTATCATTTTCTTTCTGCTGGAGGGCTTCCTTTACCATTTTTCAAGTGTTATTAGTCTGCTCATGGTAAATTATTTCAGCTTTTGTAAGTTTGAAAAAAAAATATTTTGCCTTGACTTTTGAGAGTTGTTTTTACTGGGTAGAGATTTCTAGGTTGACAGTTTTTTGCTCTTTCAGAACTTTAAAGATGTTTCTCCTCTTTTTTTCTTACATTTTTCTCTGATGAGAAGTTTAACTTTAGCAATGAGACTTTATAAAATCAAGGAACAAAGCAAGGGAAGAGCATTTAGATATGAAAAATAAGGATAATATATTCAGTTGGGGGAGGAGACAAAAATCAAATGGCAGGTTTTGACAGCATCCATAACCTTAACAGGTCTTTCCACGTACTGTGTGGAAAGATCACGTGGCTGTTTTTTTGATCTCTATTAAGACATATTAAGACATACAGATGAACATTACCACTAGTAGCTACCATGCAATATACAAAACACTTTATCCATTCACAGCCATTGATTGATTGAATTTAGATAGACATTACATCTATTTTTTACGTATTTTTTCAATGTATGAGTATTTGTGTATTTACATTTTTTATTTTTATTTTTTCCTTCTCATTTTTTTATTTAAATTCTAGTTGACATAGATGGTAAAATTGGTTTCAGGTATAGAATTTAGTGATTCATCACTTACATATAACATCCAGTGCTCATCACAACAAGTGCCCTCCTTAATACCCATCACCCATTTAGTCCACCCCCCACCCACCTCCTTCCATCAACCCTCAGTTTGTTCTCTATAGTTAAGAGTCTCTTATGATTTGATTTTTTTCCTCTCCGTATGTTCATTTCATTTTTTTTTAATTCCACACATGAGTGAAATCAGATGGTATTTGTCTTTCTCTGACTTGTTTAGCATAATACATTCTAGCTCCATTCACATCTCTGCAAATGGCAAAATTTCCTTCTTTTTGATGGCTGAGTAATATTCCATTCTACAAATATATTATGGAAGAATGCATAACATGAGATCTACCATTAAACAAAGTTTTAAGTGTCCAATACATTATTGTTGACTATAGGTATGTATCATTTTCCCCTTGTGTCCCCAAACTTACTTTTCCTCACTGACTCCAAATACTAGTTAATAGAACCATCTGTCCAAGCCAGAAATTTGGTGGATCCTGAAATTTACCTTCTGCTTGTCCTCAAATCCACTGGTCACTAAGTTCTGTATGTTCTACCTCAGATATTTCACATACTTATTTTCTTTATTCTATCACTACTGCCATTTCTTTAATTTAGGATTTTAACATCTCTTGGCCAATGACTACACTAGCTTACTTCTCCAATTTAATCTTACACTAACCTAAGTTGTATTTCATTTAATTTGGCTTTTGAGTGAAAATTTTTTTCATTTTTTTATGTTACTCATCGTACAGTACTTCACTAATTTTTGATGTAGTGTTCTTTTTAAATTAAATCACCCTCCTCTGCCCCCAACACACACTTAAAATGCCCCAGTGGTAGCCTTCTTACATACAGGATAAAGCTCAAAGATTTTTATATGGTCTCCAAGGCTATTTATGACCTTAGTGGTCTCTACTTTCAGGGAGAGCTTTTTTGTTCCTTCAGAAATGTGCATACCTCTCTTCCAGCTGTAACTGCTATTTTATGTATCTGTCTCCTCTAAAGAAGGAATTCCTTAAAGACAGAAACCCTACATTGCTCATCTTTATGTCCACAGTGACTAAATACAGTATCTAGTTTATAACAAATATATATATTTAATATATATAACATAGACTAAATATGGTATCTAGCTTATATCCATTTAATGCTTCTGTTGTTGATGTTATAATGACAGGGGAGACTTTACAATTTTTTTTCCTCCTTCATGAACATTTCTGAACAAATCACCTAGCCTTCCAAATAGGTACAGCCTAGAACACACCTATAAAATAGGAAAAAGATGTTTTTGCTTGGTTCATGGAGCCAAGGCCAATCAAAAAGAAGAGAATCCAGCAAAATCTGATCTATCTGGACACATGTATGTACACTTACAAAGCAGTACACTCATAGCTTAATATGTATAAACATATATGTGAAAACAGTTAATATTAATAGGTGGTTAGAACCTACAATTTGGGCCACATAATTTTAGTTAACCATCAAAGTGTGCTTACAGAAGAGATATGAGAACAAGATTAGTGGATAGAACAGCTTGTGAGACTTAAAAGCTCATTATCTTTACAGATTAAAAGACCAAAAATATGCTCTTTTGGATGATATAATTCTTATGTACCAGAAACAGAACAGTGTGGCTTCACTAATTGGGAAGAGGAAAATTTAGGAAAATAAAGGAAAATCATTGCTTCAAAAATATTTTTGGAAGTATGTAGGCCATCAATAATAAGTAAACTGTTCCAATCATTGTCAATAATTTTTAATAAACTTACCTGATTATTATATGCATCAGGTGCAAGTTTCTTGTATGTTGGTGCCATAAGAGTGGACAGGTTTTGTAAATGAGACTCCAGTTTCTCTTCCTGTATAAAATGAATAACTCTACTTATTAAATTCTAAATCCTTTCTATATGTAAGAGATGCTATCAGTTAAATTTTTCCTGCTACATCTTAGATCCAAATGACAATATATTGTGTCTGTCTTATTAATTAAAGTTCCTTAACATGACTATTTCTAATTAAAAAGTATAAACCATATATCATCTATTTTTGTATGTGTTATCAAAATATCTAGCTCTTTGGTATTTTTCTATTAATCAATTTTGTACTCTGCATGCAGATATTTGGCATTTTATAAATATAAGCCTATGCTAGTAATAGGATAAGGAGAATGAAACCATATGATCTTGAAGAGGTCACATTCTCCACTCCTCCAATCAGCTGCCATGGAAGATGAGCTACTGAAAGGATTTGTTTGGTTCACCTATTTTCAATCTTTATATTTTTAAATGTTTATAAAAATAGCATTCAAAATTTGAGAAAATCTTTCCACTGAACTAAAAGTTAGTAGATGCTTCAAATATGGATAAAACTCTCAGAACTAGAATGTACTATATATGCAGAACTTTGTAAAGTTTACTTGAAAGGAGAAATGTTCAGTTACACTCCCTCCTCCCTACAAAGAGCAGATTATCCAGGTAAGATGCTTATAAAATGGTAGATGTAACTACCTGGCAGAGTTATACTTATTTGTAGTTTAGAAGGTGAGGTTTCTAAGCCAAGTTCTCCTACCTACCTGAGGGAGGATGTTCCTAGCCATTTCTTGGATTTGCTTTATATTAAATCTAGTGAAAGTGATAAACATTTATAAAATAGTGGTAAAATCCTCCAGTATGGAAAATTAAAGTTGTTGATGATATGTAAAATTGCTACACTTCATTAGGCTTATTAAGTATTTGTATTTTTTTTTATGAAAAGGGACATCTAGCCCATTTAATATAGTTTATTAAAAATATAATCCTGTGAAAAAATTTATATCATGATTTCACAAGTTTTCGTACTTTACTAAATTTCCACTTATAGTCACAGATAATAAAGCTAACACATTTTTCATTTAGAGGGAAATATCAATATTATACATAGTTATAACTATATTTCAATTGCATTTAAAGTTTGAAAAGATAATTATAAGGTTCATAGAGTCACTAAAAATTTGGTCATATCTAAATGGTAAACATTTGGGGGTTTTTTGATTATTCAATTAGCATACACTAGAAGCTATACCCAAAAGTTGTTAAAATTGGTATACATCTGTAAATTATATTTTGAGAAATTTATGTTTTAGTTACTTGAACGCATTCATTATGATAACTTTAAACTATCAAATCTCATGGTATGAAAATGTGATGAGAAGTGGTCTTTATTGAATGTGGCAGTGATGGACATGACTTCTGTAATTCAGGTTTGAAAAATGAAAGTTTTAACAATAAAATGTTAACACTTGGTTTTAATACCAGTGATGGCTATTTAAAACTGTGGAATTAACATAAAAGATAAGTACAAAAGGCCATAAGGTATGAAGAGTTTATATTGTTCAAACTTAAAACTTTGGTATCACATGGTTATTATTATGCTAATTTTATCAAATATATAATGTGTATCTACAGTATAGTAAAATTCTGATTTACCTCTGAGATGAAATTCTCTATCTTAATGAGAATTTAACAGAGTATGTTATACTATTCACTTCATCTGTACTCATCAATTCTCCCCCAAAATTAAAGAGATTATATATCAGGAAGTAAACAAACCTCTTTTGGGTCATCCCCAAGCAGCTTAAATTTTCTTGGGATCTTGCTTCTGGCAAACTTACATCCATTGTAGTACATGCTCCATGAACAACCAAAAGAAAAGGAGGCACCACAGGTCTCGGGATCCAGCCCTTGACAGGCACAGGTTCTCCTGAGGAATTAAAGCACCAAGTTCATAGATAATTGATATCAAACACTTATCTAGGCTACCAATCTTGTATTCTGGATGTCTGCATGCAAAAAGGAGTGTAAATTAGTTTTAAAAGAAGTTTATATTAAGCTTGCCATAATCACATCAGAAAAGAACTATTTTAATTGATTTTAAAACACAATTTAAACAAACTTTTTATTGTAGCATAATATACAGAAAAAGTACACATAATTTTACAGCTTGCAAATGCTCACAAATAAAACATACCCAAGTAAGTAGCACCCAAAGTAAGAAACAAATATACACTAGCACTCCAGAATCTCCTCTATACTTCCAGGCACTGTCTATAACAATAACTTCTGTCAGAAGAGTTTTGCCTCTTTTTATATTATATATATAGTGTACTATATGTGTATGTATATATGTATGCATAGTTTTGCATATTTTTATACTATATGTAGTATATATATACAATTTTGCTCATATATATATATATATATATACTATACTAAATTTTTATTTTTATTTATATGGTACACCATGTTTTTTATTTATATATGTAGTACAAAAATGGGTAAAACTATATATATGTGTATATATATGTACACAGATACAATTATATTGTATAAGCTTATTTGTGTCTTGTTATTTTTGTTCAACATATGTTTGGAATATCCATCCATATTGTTGCATATAAGTGTACTTTTTCATGTATTTATTCATTGAATAAAATTTTCCATTGTATGAATATTTCACAAAATAACCATTCTACCATTGATGGGCATTGGAGTGCTTTCTAGTTTTTGGCTAAAATACAGTATTGTGACAGATATATCCTAAGGGCAATAAACAAACAGAAAAAACTAGCAAAGAACCCAAAGAACAAAAATGATAAAATAACCTACTAGGAAAACTTAATAGGTATTTTTTTCAGCTTTACTGAGGTATAATTTGCAAACAGTAAGATATTTAAAGTGTACAACATGATTTGATGTGTGTGTACATTGTGAAAGGATTTGCCCACTGAGTAAATATATCCCTCACCTTTTTATGACCCTCTTTTTGAAAAGAACATTTAAGTTGTATTCTTTTAGTAAACTGCAATTATATAATACAGTGTTATCAACTATAGTCTCCATGTTACACATTAGATCCACAGACGTTATTCATTTTATAACTGAAAGATTGTACCCTTTTATCAACCTTTCCCTATTTTCCTTACTCCCAAGCCTCTCACAGCCACTTTATTTTTTATTATTTTTTAAGATTTTTTATTTGAGAGAGAGCGTGCGCACAAAAAGGGGTAGGAAGAGGAAGAGGGAAAGAATCCCAAGCAAACTTCGTGCTGAGTGCAGAGCCCCATGTGGGGTTCAATCTCATGACCCCTGAGATCATGACCCGAGCAGAAACCAAGAGTCAGATGCTCAACAGACTGAGCCACCCAGGTGCCCTCACAACCACTTCTCTACTCTGTTTCAGAGTTCAGCTTTTTTGTTTTTCTTTTTGATTCCACACATAAGTGAAATCATGTATTTTTCTTTGTCTGGCTTATTTCACTTAGCACAATGTTCTCTAGTTCATCCATGTTGTTACAAATTACAAGATTCCCCCCCTTTTTAATGCTAAATAATAACTTGTTTTCCCTCTCCCTCCATACCACATTTTCTTTATCCATTTACCCATTGGTGGACACGTAGGTTGTCTCCACACCTTGGTTATTATGAATAATGCTGCAATGAAGTGCAGAAATCTCTTTGAGATAATGATTTCATTTCCTTTGGATGTATACTCAGAAGTGGGATTGCTGGATCATATGGAAGTTCTATTAACTTTTTGAGGACTCTCCATACTGGCTGTAACAGTTTATGCTTTCACTAATAGTGTACAAGGATTTCCTTTTCTCCACCTTCTTGCTAACATTCTTGTCTTTTTTGGTAAAAGATATGCTAACAGGATCAGGTGATAGATGATATCTCACTGTGGTTTTGATTTATATTTCTCCAGTGATTAGTGATGTTGAACACCTTTTCATGTACCTGTTTGCCATTTGTATGCATTCTCTATAAAAATGTCTACTCAGGTCCTTTGCCTGTTTTTTTTTTTTTAATTGAATTTTATAGATTCCTTGTATATTTGGGATATTAGCCTCTTTCTAGATATATTATTTGCAAATATTTTCTCCCATTCAATAGATTACCGCTTCTTTTTTTTTTTTTTTAAAGGTTTATTTATTTGACAGAGAGAGATACAGCTAGAGAGGGAACACAAGCAGGGGGAGTGGGAGAGGGAGAAGCAGGCTCCAACGCGGGGCTCGATCCTAGGACTCTGGGATCATGACCTGAGCTGAAGGCAGACGCCCAACGACTCAGCCACCCAGGCGTCCCAGATTACCTCTTCATTTTGTTGATGGTTTCCTCTATTGTCCAGTTTTTTGGTTTGATGTAGTCATACTTATTTTGCTTTTGGTGCCTTTGCTTTTGGAATGCAAAAAAAACATTAAGATCAATTCCAAGAAGTTTACCCCTGTGTTTTTTTCTGGGAGTTTTACAGTTTCAGGTCTTGTGTTCAAAACTTTAATCCATTTTAAGTTGATTTTTGTGTATAGTCTAAGAGAGGTCTGGTTTCATTCTTTTAGGTGTGATCCCTACTTTTCCCAATACCATTTATTGAAGAAATGATCCTTCCCCCATTGTATAGTCTTGGCTCCATTAAAAAAAAAAATGACCATATTTGTATACATGTATTTGTTGGCTCTGCATTCTCCATTAATCTATGTGTCTGTTTTGTTGCCAGTATCATACTGTTTTAATTACTATAGCTTTGTGGATATAGTCTGAAATCAGGAAGTAATGACTGTCTTTTTCATTCTCAAGATCACTTTGACTCTTTGGGGTCATCTGTGATTCCATATAAATTTAGGATTTTTTTCTATTACCATGAAAAATGCAGTTGGAATTTTGGGATTGCATTGAATTTGCAGATTGCTTTGGGTACTACGGGAATGTTAACAATATTGATTCTTCCAATCCATGAACATAGACTATCTTTCCATTTATTTGTGTCTTTTTTTATTTCTTTCATCAATCTTTTTTTTTTTTTTTGAGACATCAATCTTTTGTGGTTTTCAGTATACAGATTTTTCATCTCCTTGCTTAAATTTATTCCTAGGTGTTTTCTTTTTCTTTTGTAAATGGGATTATTTCCTTACTTTCTCTGTTAGTTCATTGGTAGTATATAGAAACACAATTGATTTTTGTATATTGATGTATCCTGCAACTTTACTGAATTTGTTTATTAGTTCTAACAGTTTTTGGTGGAATCTTTAGAATTTTCTATATATAATGTCATCTGCAAATAGTGATAGCTTTACTTCTTCCTTTCTGATTTGGATTCCCATTATTTTATTTTCTTGCCTGATTGTTCTAGCTAGTATTTCGAATTACATATTGAATAAAAGTGATGACAGTAGGCATTTTTTGTATTGTTCCTGATCTTAGAGGAAAACCTTTCAGCTGTTCATCACTGAGTATGATGTTAGCTGTGACTTTCTCATATATGGCCTTTATTATGTTGAGATATTTTCCTTCTGTACTCAGTTTTATTATGAAAGGATGTTGAACTTTGTCAAATACTTTTTTCTGGGCTTCTTAAATGATATCATTTTTATCCTTAATTTTGTTCATGTGGAATATTGCATTGATTGATTGGGTATGTTGAATTATTCTTACATCCCTGGAGTAAATCCCACTTGATCATAGTATATGATCCTTTTAATGTACTAGTGGACTTGGTTTGCTAATATTATGTTGAAAGGTTTTGCATTTAATTTTTCATTGGATATTGGCAGGTTATTTTTTTGTAGTGTCTTTGGTTTTGGTATCATTGTAATGCTAGTCTTGTAAAATGTTTGGAAATAGTTCATTTTCTTCAAGTTTTTGAAAGAGTTTGAGAAGGATTGCTAACCCATCTTCAAATGTTTGGTACAAATCACCACTAAAGCCCTCTGATCCTGGGCTTTTCTTTGTTGTGAGGTTTTTGATTACTGACTCAATCTCCTTACTAGTAATTGGTCTATTTAGATTTTCTATTTCTTCATGATTCAGTCTTGGTAAGTTGTATGTGTCTAGGAATTTAGCCACTTCCTCTAGGTTGTTCAACCTGTGGGTGTACAATCGTTCATAGTATTTGCTTATAATAGTTTATATTTGTGTGATAACAGCTGAAATGCCTTCTCTTTCATTTATAGTTGTATTTCTTTGAGTCCTCCTTTTTTCTTGGTAAGAGTAGTTAAAGGTTTACTATTTTGTTTATATTTTCAAAAAAGTAGCTTAGTTTCATTCATCTTTTTTATCTTTTTATTCTCTATTTCATTTATTTCCACTCTTATTCTTGTTATTTCCTTCCTTCTGCTAACTTTGGGCTTTGTTCTTCTTTCTTTCTTAATGTTGATATTTATTACTATGAAGTCTCATTTTAAAACTGCTTTTGTTACAGTCCATAAATTTTGGTATATTTGTTTCAAGATATTTTTTTAGCTATTATTTCCTGAATAAGAGTTCTGCTCTTCTCTTGTCTCCTTCTAGGGCCTTTGTATTGTGTATATTGGTCCTCTTCTGGTGTCCCATAAATTCCTTAAGCCATCGTCACTCTTTTTCATTCTCTTAAACTTCTCTAGTGGATTTTTTAGTTTTAGTTATTCTTCAGCTCTGTGACTTATGTTTGGTACTTTACTTTCTCTTGTTAAAATTCTTGTTTTGTTTATGCATTGTTGTCCTGACCTCAGTGAACATCACAGTCTTAGGATTAATATTTTGAAATCATTTATGTATATTGTGACATGAAGAAGTCACTGTTAAATGTCAAAAAAATGTTCAGTGTAGGATAAGTGTAAAAAATAAGTAGATATCCTGTAATCTTAATTACAAATAGGAAATAACAATATAAACTCATGGTTTAATAGCTCAAAATCACTCATTCTAAAAAATAATTACTATATCTGC